GAGGGAGGGGAGAAGAGAAGGAGAGGGAGGGAGGAGAGGGAGGGAAGGAGGGAGAGGGAGGGGGAAGAGGGAGGGAAGAGGAGAAGGAGAGGGAGGAGGAGGTTGCAACCTTACTTCAGCGGCACCCGTGCCATGAATTGATCCGAGTTGTGTGTCTTCTCCTTGCAAGGTCTCAGACCTACAATGCCCTTGAAATCAACCTCTTGTTGACTGTCGAACAGGGAAAAACAATTGAATGGATTGTCATTGAGTCCAACGCTTTCACAGGTAAGCTGGTGGGAGGAAGGATTGCATGATGTGACTTGGCTCTTGCTACCTCTGGAATGTCATCCTAGCATTTGGACCATCAGTGATCAACCTGACACCTCTGGTTGAAAGTCCCTTTCCTCCTGCTTCTCTGCCTGCCTCGTTGTGGCATTCCAGGATAGACTGTCCCTGAACATGGAGGTTCCCATCAGCTCTCTCACCTGTAGCCACCAATAAAGCTAAGTTTAGTCCTTTTTAAGGGATGCTAAAGCACCTTTTCCTCCACTGCATGGGGACTAAAGCTTCTAGTAGACTAGGGGTAGGCAACCTTGGCTCCTTTATGACTTGCGGACTTCAACTCCCAGAATTCCTGAGCCAGCATGGCTCAGCTTGGAAACCTCTCCCTTTCCCCTCAGCATGGCTGGCTCAGGAATTCTGGGAGTTGAGGTCCACGAGTCACAAAAGAGCCAAGGTTGCCTACCCCTGCCCTAGACCTAAGATTTGTTATGGTTAACTTAAAACTATGCTCCCTCCTAATTATTTGGCAACTGAAAACGAAGTGAGAATGGCTTCAGCTCAATTCGTTGCAGCGTTGACACGCTCCTTTGCTCAGCTTTTCTGATTGCCTGGCTTTCATAGCCAGATGTTACATTGGGCAACATCGGGGGCAGGGGAGCTTAACAATACACCCCTTGTTGGGGGTGTGTGTGATATAATCTGCATTTTAATCGTTCGTCGAGATTTTTCAAAAGTCTTTCTCCTAACCAGTAGATACTTTAAAAAAAAAATTGTTTTAGCATTGCCGGCACCATCTCTGTGGATTTTTTGAGCCTAAGAAGATAAAACCTATTCCTGCTTCTACTTTTTCCTCCGGTTCTTTGCGCTGGGGTTTCGTTATCTGCGGCGTAATTGTAATTTTTAATATTGAGGCGCCCGATGGACTATTGTATTGTCTCTCCGTCTTTGTTTAAGTCCTCCTCTCTTCCTGTTCTCAGCAGCGTGTTTGAGGGGGGCTGACGTTTCACGCGGCCCTTTTCGTTTCCTTCCCCCCCTACTCTAGCGTGTGTCTCATCTATTTTAGAAATCAGTCAATTAAATCGCCTTTAGATTTTATTATGTAGAAATTAAATAAATAAAGCGGCAGATGTAGCCGTGGGACCCTTTTTCCCCAATTTTGAATCCATTAGTTGCGCCTTATTCTCTTCTAACTATGGCTTCCTGGCCGACAAATCCTTCCACGGGGAAAAACAGTAAAAATAACTCGGTAAACGTTACCCACAATTTGATCTACAGAATCAAAAGCCTCTAAATGCAGGGAGTCCACGACTTACAAGCCCTTTGTTTAGTGACCATTCGTTAAGTGATTGTTCAAAGTTACCGTGTTTTCCCCAAAAGTAAGGCCTACACCAGGGGGTCTTCAAACTTGGCCCTTTTATGACTTGTGGACTTCAACTCCCAGAATTCCTCAGCCAGGCACACTGGCTAAGGAATTCTGGGAGTTGAAGTCCGCAAGCCATGAAGGGGCCATAGTTCCTTCCTGGTGGCTGAGGAATTCTGGGAATTGAAGTCTACAAGTCATAAAAGGGCCAACTTTGAAGACCCCTGGCCTACACCAACAATAAGCCCTAGCTTGATTTTGGGGGGTGGGCCTGATATAAGTCCTATCGCAAAAATAAGCCCTAGTTTTGGAGCGAGGCGCACTCCTAAAAATCAAGCTAGGGCGGGAGTGGGGGGTGGAGCTGCCCCACCCACCCCACACCCAGTTGCAGCCAGGCCTCTCCTTGCCGGCCCACTTCTGAGGCCTCTTCTGCAGCCAGGCCTGCATTTCTCAGTCACAGGGCTTTCCGGAAGGCCTCTGCAGCCGAGAACTGAGCTATGGATTCAATCCATAGCTCGGTTCTGCAAGAGCTCAGCAGCCAAGCACCAAGTTATGGATTCAATCCATAGCTCGGTACTCGGCTGCGTAGGCCTTCTGGAAAGGCCTGACTGCAAAATGCAGACCCAAATGCAGCTGCAGAACTTTGGCCCCAGAAGAAGTGGACCGGCTGAGTGAGGCTGTTGGTGCTGGAGGTGAGGTAAGGCCTACCCCGAAAATAAGACCTGATGCCTCTTTTGGAGGCAAAAAAAAAAGACCCGGTCTTGTTTTTGGGAAAACACGGTACACCAGCACCGAAAAAGTGACATATGACCATTTTTCACACTTACGACTGTTGCAATATCCCCACGGGATCAAAATTCAGATATTTGGCAACGGGTGTGTATTTATGACGGTTGCAGTGTCCTGGGTTCACGTGATCACCTTTTGTAACTTTCTGAGCCGGCTTCCGACAAGCAAAGTCAATGGGAAAAGCTAGATTCGCTTACTTGATTAGCGACGAAAATGTTTGGTTCAGTTGGGTTATAACAGACTAAGAGGATAGGAGAATAATAGGAGAGTTGGAAGGGACCTTGGAGGTTTTCTAGTCTAACCCCCTGCTCAAGCTGGAAACCCTATAACATTTCAGACATATGGTTATCCAATCTCTTCTTAAAAACCTCCAGTGATGGAGCACCCACAATTTCTGGTGGCAAATTGTTCCATCGATTAATTGTTCTCACTGTCAGGAAGTTTCTTCTTAGTTCTAGGTTGCTTCTCTCCTTGATGAGTTTCCATCGGTTGCTTCTTGTCCTGCCTTCAGGCGCTTTGGAGAATAGCTTGATTTCCCTTGTCTTCTCCTAAGGCTGACGGTGACGTTGATGCTGGTTTCTCCAGGGACCCCCCCTCCCCGAATTTTCTGAGCCCCCCGCAGAGACTGGCGGGTCTCCGTCATGTTTTAATATAACGTATCCAAAACACAAGTGGGGGTCTTCTGGCAGCAAGAGCTTCCCATCACAAGCCAGTCATTTTGCCTCGTTAAAAAGCTGTCGCTCCGGCAGATGTCATGAGCTGGGAGACAAATATCAGCTTAATAATACGTTACGCCTGGCCTGGCACAACAGCTGAGAGGAGGGAAGAAAACAGAGGTGTGTTTTTTTTTTCTCAAAGACACCTAGAGATCTTGGCGACCAAGAAAGGAGAATATTGGTAGCTGAGGGTTGAAATGAGGGGCCCTTGGGGGGTCTCTGGGCTGGGTGGTTTTCTTGCCGACGTTTCATGAGCCAAATTAGGTAACCTCATCAGTGCTAGAAGGAGTGGGGTTTGAGGAGAGGAGGAGGAGGAGGAGGAGGAGGAGGAGGAGGAGGAGGCCAGTGGGTCCTTTGTGTTGGCTGAGTTTGGTTGTTTTCTTGTAGATGTTTCATTACCCAAACTAGGTAACCTCATCAGTGCTAAAAGGGAGTGGGGTTGGAGGAGGAGGAGGAGGAGGAGGGTGACGCCAGTGGGGTCCTTGGCTGAGCTTGCAGGCATTTCATTACCCAAATAGGTAATATTATCAGTGCTAGGAGGGAGTGGGGTTTGCTGGGAGGAGGAGGAGGAGGAGGAGGAGGAGGAGGACGATGACTTTGGGATCCTTGTGCTCTCTGAGCTTGGTTGTTTTCTTGCAGACGTTTCATGACCCAACTAGGACGTAACATCATCAGTGTTAGAAGGGAGTGGGGTTTGGAGGAGGAGGAGGAGGAGGAAGAGGAGGAGAGGGGGGTCCTTGACGCTGTCTGCGCTGGGTTGTTTTCTTGCAGATGTTTCATCACCCAAACTAGGCAACATCATCAGTGTTAGAATCCTAGCACTGATGACGTTATCTAGTTTCAGTAATGAAAGATCTGCAAGAAAACCACCCAGCTCAGACAGCACCAAGACCTCCTCAGATTTTGGAGACTCTGCAGCTTCCATGTTGCATCTCAGCCCAGCCTTTAGCTGAAATCTCCTTGCAGAGAGGAGCCATTCTAGAACCCATGTTTGGATTCTTTCTTCCTGCTTAGGGACCCTTCATTCAGACACCAAGCACTCCGAGCAGTCTTCTGCTTCGGCCATTCTTAGAAACATAGAACAAAGAATTATAGGGCTGGAAGGGACCTTGGAGGTCATCCAGTCCAACCCCCTGCTCAGGCAGGAGACCCTATACCATTTCAGACAAATGGTTATCCAGTCTCTTCTTAAAAACCTCCAGGGATGGAGCACCCACAACCTCTGGAGCAGGGGTCTTCAAACTTGGCCCTTTTATGACTTGTGGACTTCAACTCCCAGAATTCCTCAGCCAGCCTCCATTTTGTATGTTAGATTTAAGACAGGGGTCTTCAAACTGGGCCCTTTTATGACTTGTGGACTTCAACTCCCAGAATTCCTCAGCCAGCCTCCATTTTGTTTGTTAGATTTAAGAAAGGGGTCTTCAAACCTGGCCCTTTTATGACTTGTGGACTTCAACTCCCAGAATT